GCCTTTCCGCAGGAATGCATCAAACATCCATAAAAAATGTCGTCTTATACCAAACAGGGAGAAGGGCTGACAACAGCTGAATAAAATTCAGGACTCTAAAAAGAATGTCCATCTTAATTAAATTAGCTAGATCCATCAGGTTCACTGGAAGGTCATGCCATCTGGTGAGATACACCCTTAGGTTCTGCAGAAGCAGAAGCAAATGAAGAGAAAAATGCTTAGTGACTTGGGATGACAACTGCATTCTAAAATACTCAAAGCCCCTGGCAAAGCAGTTGGCTTGCCAAACATTTGTTTTAACAATTTCCCTTCTTTTCTTAGGGCCCAAATCTGCTCCCATTAAAGTCAATTGGAGTTTTGCAGGATGAGAACAGGATTGGGCCCTGACTTTTCATTGACATTTGCTTCAGTCAGTCACGGTTGCCTGCTCTTTCACTAATTCCTCCTTCTCTTTTCCACAGCTCAGCGACAGAGTTAGAGCTTCTAGTTTCCTCCAGTTTCTAGTGAAATCTGAAAATCTAGGTTTAAAATAAAGGAGAAAGAACAGTTTTGTGATTACACCACTGGACCAAGATTCAAAAGATCTGGTTCGATGCCTGCTTTTGTCACAGACTCATTGTGTGACCATGGGCAAGTAATGTAATATCTCTGTGCCTCTGTTCCTCGTCTGCAAAATGAGGGTAGTAGTACTTGCAGGAGTGTTGAGAGAATACATTAATCAGTGTTTGTGAGATACTCAGATACTACAGATGAGAACCATATAAGTGCTAAAGGCTTGCATACACATGGAGTTATTCCTGATTAACTCCTATTCTGGAATAAGAATGTCCACACATTGAGTTAATCAGGAATAACTCCATATGTACACAAGCCCTCAAACAGGTAAAATAGGGGAGTCCTGGGCGGGATGGGAGGGAGGAAGCTTCAGTGATTACAATATATCCAGGACATTATTTTTCTTAAAAAGGAATGGGATGGGTTCTTACTACTGATTTTTATGTATCTTGGCTAATTATTAAACAACAATTGCATACTGGTAGTTATGTTTCAGGGAGGTGAAATATCTGACTAGAAGAGATCAAACAAAAATATATGGGCCTCTGATTTCTACATAGCCTAGCTATATGAAAATTAAATATTGTTTAAAATATACTTCTAAGACATAAAGATCTTGCCTGAGGTCTGTAGTTTTCAGGGTCTATATTAGCTATTACCACTCAAGAAAGAGATCTTGGAGTTATCGTGGATCGTTCTCTGAAGATTTCTGCTCAACATGCAGCGGCGGGCAGTCAAAAAAGCTAACAGAACATTAGGAACAGGATACTCTTCAAGAATACCCATGGCAGCAAACGATTGCCATATGTACACAAAGATGCAGATTGACAGGGCACACCATCCTGTGTGCACCTTATTACTGCAGCTTGCATAATGTGTGTTACCTGACGCAGCAAAAAGATGCAGATTAACCTTCCTGTGTGGACAAGCCGTAAGGGGCTGTAAATTAAAAAGAATACTTCAGCTCAGTGTTTGCCTTTAGATTCTAGAACATAAGAATGGTCAGACCAATGGTCCATCTAGCCCAGCATCCTGTCCTCTGACAGTGGCAAGTGCCAGATAATTCAGAGAGAATGAACAGAGCAGGGCAATTATGGAGTGCTCCACCCCATCATACAGTCCCAGTTTCTCACAGTCAGAAGCTTAAGGACACCCAGAACATGGGGTTGTGTCCCTGACCATCCTGGCTAACAGCCATTCATGGACCTATCCTCCATGAACTGATCTAACTCTTTTTTGAACCCAGTAACGATTTTGGCCTTCACAACAATCCCTAGCCATGAGTTCTCCGGGTGGACTAGGCATTGTGTGAAGAAATACTTCCTTATGTTTGTTTTAAACCTGCTTTCATTTTATTTGGTGACCTGTGGTTCTTGTGTTATGGGAAGGGGTAAATAACACTCCCTTACTCACTTTCTCCACACCATTCTTGATTCTACAGACCTCCATCATAGCCCCCCTTAGCCATCTCTTTTCCAACCTGAAAAAATCCCAGTCTTTTTAATCTCTTCTCATCTGGAAGTTGTTCCATCCCCTTAATCATTTTTGCCAATTCTAGTATATCTTTTTTGAGATGGGACAACCAGAACGTCACACAGTATTCAAGGTGTGGGCATACCATGGATTTATATAGTGACTTTACGATATTTTGTTTTATTATCTAGCCAGTTCCTAATGTTCTGCTGGCTTTTTAGACTGCTGCTGCACATTGACCAGAGGTTTTCACAGAGAACTATCCACGATGACTCCAAGATCTTTCTTGAGTGGTAACAGCTAACTTAGACCTCATCATTTTATATGTGTAGTTGGGATGATGTTTTCCAATGTCCATGACTTTGCACTAATCTACACTGAATTTCATCAATCATTTTGTTGCTCAGTCACCCAGTTGTGAGATCTCTTTGTAGTTAGCTTTGCACTTAACTACCTTTGAGTAATTTTGTATCGTCTGTAAACTTCTCCACCTCACTGTTTACCCCTTTTCCAGCTTATTTATAAGTATGCTGAACAGCACTGGCCCCAGTACAGTTCCCTGGGTGACCATGCTATTTACCTCGCCCCACTGTGAAAACTGACCTTTTTATTCCTACCTTTGTTTCCTAGCTTTTCACCAGTTACTGATCTCATCAATACACTGAACAGCAGCTGTGCTTGTCTCCTTGGCTAGTAAGTTCTCAGCAGCAGTATAAACATAGGGCGATTATAATTCAAGAGTTATGAAACCACAAACATGTCCTTTATTGCCGGGCATTATTCCTATTGTTTGATCTCATGGCTGTTAACGGAAGAGCAGCTCCACTCGCAGGCACTTCAATTTAAATTCTCTCTGGGTCCAATCCCGCACCACTGTTTGTAGCCAGCGCCTGGTGCTCCAGCCTCTTGCAGTGAAACCCAGCGGGAACTGGCGGCCTGGGGAGAAGGCAGCTCATTCCAGCAGCCCGCGGTCCAGTGGGAGAGGCGGGCGGATTGCTCCTTTCTTCTCCGCCCGCATTAATGAAGCTGGAAAGCGCCGTCGCCAGCCCCCTCCCCACGCTCCTCCTCGCCCTCAGCGGCGAGCCGCGCGGCGCGCAAGCCGGTGCCTAAGCCGCTACCTGCACTGAAGCTGCAAGGCGCATGCTTCAAGCGGAGGGAAGGAGGAGGGAGCTGGAGGAGTGGGGGGAGACTAGCGATGCTGTCCCGGCCGGTTTAAACCGGGATAGACTGAGCTGTTGGGCGCTGCGGAGACTAAAGTTCTCCTCCTCCTGCGGGTCCGCTCCCCTCCTCCAGCCACTCCCCCTCCCCAGCTCCTTGTGGGTTGCAGGAGTTGGCGAGTCCGCCTGTTTGAATGGCTTTGCCGAGCCCTAGTTCTCCAGGATGCCCCGAGGGGAGGCTCAGGCCAATGCACACCCCGCGTAACGTGCGGCAGGGTTGTCCCGGGCAGGGAGACCCTCACCCTGTGTGTAGCCGCCAGCGGAGCAAAACGCGCTGCCCTGGCAGTCCGAGGCGCGAGAGCGCATCATCGTGGGAGTGGGGTTCCGGAGCCTGCTGGCGGAGTGCGCCCCCTCTGCTGGCTACCGCGGGGGCCGGGGCACGTTACTCATCTTTATTGACGCCAGGCTGAAAACAATGCAGCGCCGTAGTACAAGGCACGGGATTCCAGCTGGGGGAAAAGTTCAGCGCGACCCACGCGTGTGTGTGGGGGGTTGTTTGATGACAACTGAAAACGTTTCTTTTGGTTGTTTTTTTTTTTGGAGGGGGGGAGGAGAAATCGCGCGAGCAAAGCAATCCCCTAATGTTTGTCGCACCAAAATCACTTTGAATATTGTTCACGTGGATTCCAGATCGCTGTTTACTTATGTGGAGCTGAGCGGTGTATTTTTAGAAATAGGGGCTGGGGGTGGAGAGTGCTGTTTTTATATGCACGAAGGGAGGAAAGAAAGAGTTAATCCCCGGAAACTATCCGCAGTGGTGAGTGACTCGCTCTCCCACTCCAGAAAAGCGAACTCCCCCAGCTGAATGTGGTCTCCAGCAGGAATAGAGCCAGGTGTTACGCTTTTAAGAAGTAAGCAAATGCATTTAGAAACCAGAATGTTCCCTAACGAAAATTCAAAGTTGTGATTAGTTTGTCATCCCTATCGCTTTTGATATAAGGCGTTGTTAAGACAATACATACACACCACACATCGTGTTTTATTAACGATACATACTTTGAGACATAAAATTCGAAATCACTACGATTAGGTGCCAAATCAACCTTAAGTTTTCCACTTACCTGAGACCATGAATGAGATTCCATGCTACAGAATAATGAATGTATAGGTATAGATCAGTGGATTTTTAGACAGATGTTCTAGATAACTGGCTATATATGCGCATGCATACACAAGAATCTATATAAATACACCCATTTAAATGTATGCAGCATGTGTATATATATAGCAAGATTTTAGATAGTCACTATTTCTAGAACAATCTGTGCGTGTTTTTCCTACATAGATTTTACTGAAACAAACAGGAATTGGTAGTCTTTTAAGGAGCAGGTAGTTCTCAAGAAGAATTCTAGATTATCTAAATGCCAGACATGTTATGCTGCGAACTCTGCAACGTGTCAACCTGAACCTCAGTCAGAGCCCTTGCTAAACAAAGTCAGTCATATTTTTTCCCTCTCCAAGGAGACAGGCCCACCTCTGACAGATCTGCGTCGTACCTGTATACCTCAGCAGGGCTTCGATAGTTAAAAGGAGAAGAGGAAATGAAATGCATGCTGTAGTAATGAGCAATAAAACGCAAGGCAAAGGAGGTGTTTCTCCTCCCCACCCCTGGAGATCACATGGTGACCCTTGCCAGCCAATACAAAGGACGCTAGGACCCTGAGGGACCCCCTGATTCCGAATTGCACCGGCTCTGCTGCATTATAAATACTTCTCCAAAATGCACTGGCCCTCCTTTCTCGCTTTCTACCCAGCTCCGTTTGTTTCGCACTCATAAAAAGCTGCGCCTCAGTTATTGCTTGGCGTATTTTGTTTCTTATTTAAAGCCGGGCTCCTTTTTTGTTTCTCGGCCAGTTTGCATGCATTGTTCGTCTCCCAAAATGGTTTGTGAGACTAAGATTGTGGCGGAAGATCATGAATCCATTTCAGGATCCAAAAAAGATGCGATCATTGTGTCTTCCTCCCAGATGTGGCCCTCCTTATCCGGCTCACCTTCCTCCTCTCCCCCAGCTTCTCTGAGTGGCGTGGAAGGGGATTTCAAGAAAGACAACGTTTATATACGAGAATTTCATCCTTCCGAGCAAGAGGTGGTGCGCCGTATATTTTATGAAGGAATCATGGAAAGGATTCCTAACACCGCATTTAGAGGGTTAAAACACCAGCCCCTCATTCAGTTGATCTATGGGATATTCGCTAGTAAGTATATTCACTTTTTTTTTTAGGGGCACACTTGTTCAGCAATTTTAATAAAAAGGAAGCGTGGTAATAAGATCTGTGTTGAAGGATGGAGAACCCATCCCTGCATCGATCCTATTAATATTTGGTGCAGAATTGCTGTCTCAGTGCTGCTGGTGCTGGAGGGGAAGAAAAGCCGCAGCCCTCAGCATCTTATCCTGTCATGGTGCAAAAGTCAGGCCAGTTAAAAAGTCGCAATATTGCAAACAGCGGATCTGTACCTCGGGCGATTGCGAGGAGCAGGAATGAAGCACTGGATCATGAGCCACGCTTTGGAGATCACTGCAGAGCGGAGTGTGTGCAACGCCACTAAATGCACCCAGCCTGCAGGCAACAGCCAGCCTGCGAGCAACGTGTGGGTAGGGCTCCCTGCTTGCATATGGGGTGCGCGTGGCTACTGGCTGGAGGTGGGGAGCGTTCTCTGGGGAGATAAATTGGGGGGCGGATGTTCTCTGCAGGTTCGAGAGGCTGCGTGTTCAAGGGGCTTCTCTCTGGAGGGAGAGGGGCGTGCGGGTGGCTCTGTATGTCTAGGAGAGGTATTAGTGGACTGGGTTTGGGGGCAGGGACTTGCGCGTTCTGCTTCTGCCTGTGTATGTGTGCGCGCAACGGGAGGGGAGGGTCCCTGCAGCTGGTTGGGGAAGGGGGTGCAGCCGGGGTGTGTATTGTGTGCGTCTCTCTGCTGCACTTGGGGGAAGAAGTGTGTGTATGGGGCGGTGCGGGGGCGGGTGCTCCCCGCTGCAGGCTTGTGGGGGTTTGCTGCCCGGGGCGGTGCGCATGGCGCTTTCTCGGCGCAGCCTGGCAGGAGTGGGACTGGGAGCTGCTGCCGCCTGTGCGGGAGGAGGCGGTGGGGCCCTGCCCGCAGCAGCCAGACCCGCATTTCCAGTTATTCCAGGCCGGGGTGCTGCTCTCTGTTGGGGAGGGGGGAGGTGAAGCGATGAATGGAAGCCGCGCCGCCGCCCGCACCTTTCCCCGCGCTCTCTAGACACCTGGGCGGGGCAGCGGCTGCAGCCGGGTTCCAGCGTTACCTAGAGACCGCCGGGCTCGGGCTCCAAACGCGTTCGAGCGGCCGCAGCTGCTGGGGAACGTTTGACCCGGGCGGTCTCGCGCCACCTCCTGGCTGCAGAGACTGCTGCTGGGGTCGCCCTCCTGCAGGCAGCCGCGCGGGGCCCTGACCTCAGCAGGGTCTAGGGGCGAGACGTTGTTTGTAACCAGCGCGTATTGCAAAGAGCTGCCGGTTTAGTATTAATTCAAAGCTGCGTGCCTTATTAGTTTATTAAACATTGCATCTTCTGGTTTGATGCAAGTTACAACGCTTCATAAAACGTAGACTAAGGCGGGATCCCTGCCTTGGCCAGCTGACAACCGAGAGGAAACTAGATTGTTCCGATATTCACTTGGTGCTTGATGGGGTTTAAAATGAAAAAAAAAATTACCTCTGTAAGAGAATGTCAGTTGCTATCAATGCAAAAGCCCCCCCCAAAGAAAACGCCACGTGGACCCTTTTTTCTCACGCCCTTGCCCTTTGCATGCGGCAAGACAGCTGGGCCCTTCATCTTTTGGGCCAGGGAGAGAGAAGGGAATGATAAAGAAAGTAAGGTAACTTTTTGTAATTATTGGTAAGATACTAAATGCACCTGAGAACAATGAAGTCTATGCCCGCCTCTCTATGTGCCAATGAGATCTAAAAACATCCTGGCTTAAGATTCACAGCTTTCAAAGTGATAAGTGATGATGGGGCAAGCAGCCATCTCAGTGCTGTCTGCTATATTATTTTCAGTGTCCTGCATTACGTTGCTTCCTGATACTGAAGCAGGCTAGTGTAAGGTTTTGGGACGGCTGGCCCTTAGGGACCTTCTGGAAAACCAGTATATCTCCCAGTGACCAAAATAATTAATTAATAAGCACGCAGCTACTGGGTGGAGTGTGCAAAATATCTTTCTTAGTCACAGTTGTGCTTTGTCCCCTGTAGTGCTGTGCCAATGAAAAGCCACGTGGGCATCTTGGTTTTAGTGCTTTGATTTCTCTGCAGGAACTGGTGATGCAGTCAAATCTTGTCTGAGCAGCAATCGCAGACATATCTTAATAGAGAGAGACATCTGTCTTTGATATTTGTGTGAGACAATAATATTTGCAGGATTTTTCAACTGTGGCAAGTTGGATGGGAGTTTTTACAGAAACACACTGCAAAATCCTTCATCAAATGTGATATAATTATTATAGTTGAATTTTTTTTAAAGTAACTTGTGAAGTGGGAGTGTTAAATAAAACTTTTTACAGGCTGTTCTTAAATGAAAAATGTGCTATTAATCTAAAATATGTTGTGAAAATGTAAATTGATTAGCTTTTGTTTATATTGTACAAATGTATGTTATGTCTCTGATTTTTTTTTTTTTTTTTAAATGGGTTTGTATTCCGAAATCAACACTAAATTCTCTTTTCTGACAGGTATCGTTTATTTCTCTTCCTTATCTCCATAGTAATATGCTTTGTTGTGACCAAGTCCTTGCTGCTGACCTGCTGTTTGCCCATCTTTCTGATGGGTATGAGGTACTACTTCAGTAGAAAAGTTATCCTCAGCTATCTCGAGTGCGCGCTGCATACGGACATGTCTGATATTGAGAATTATTACATGAAACCACCAGGTGAGTATTAATTCCATGGAGGGAACATTCACCAAATCCTGCTCATGGAAAAATGGCCATTTAATAGCTTTTCTCATGTCAACAGCACTGAGAAATCTTCTAAATGGCCAGAATGCAACCTGCTGGCTGCACAAAATATGAGGAACCACCCTAATCTTTAATACGGATATACAGCCCAGGGAGACTACAGGTTCCAGAATGCAGTGCTCTCTCAATTTCAGCATTCTAGCATAGTAGCTGAGATCATGGGGAAGCACTGCATGCTGGACCTATAGTTTCCTTGGGATGCAGTATTAAAGGTGGTTGCGCCAGTCTGTTCTATTTAATGCGAATTATATCCATTGGACTCTATAAGTTGCCCATGCATCCTACAACTGACGGCATCCAGCACGGGGTGGGAGAGGGAGATGGAAGGAATTTTAGCAAAACTGCTTAGAAGAACCCACATGCATACCACCACTTCAGACTTGGGAGCCATACGTTTTAGTTAGTCTGTATATTTACATGTGTCATTCAAGAAGAACTCCCCATAAACAAGTGTTTTGGAAGAGGTATGAAGCAGGTAAGTAAAGAGATACTGTCTATCTGCACATGTGACATATACATTTATATATTTATAATGTGTGTGTACTGTGTGTTATATAATTCTTACTTTTTGTTATGTAAATATGTTGTTAGGGTCTCAATGCTCATTAATAGAAGGTGGATTGTCACAGGAATCTGTCAAAGAAACAGAGGAAAGGGAAAACCTTGTATTTAAATTATATATTTTTTTGTTTTCATTTATGATAGGCACCAATATATAGGGATATTTGAGTCCCCTTGATCTCTAATATGGGTGATTAATATTTGAGGCTACAAATATTTCATTAATGACTGGTTAGGAGTGCAAAGCTAATGGCCAGTAACTTTCTGAGGCCAGGTTGTTATTGCTACTGTAGACTTTTTTTAATGTGTTTTCATTTCCCCCCTGCAACATAGCTATTCTGCAAGTGCAAGATCCTCCTACTGGCCATTTCTAGAGGATTAACATATTATAGTACAACAACCAAGTACATGTTTTCTCTTCATTTCCAACATTCAGTATTTTAAAAAATGGTTCATTCTGTAATAAAAATATTAATACGCCTTTGAACAATTTCTTTCAGATCTTGTTTCTCATCTAAATACATTAAGTCGTTCTCACTAATATTATGTCTGATTCTACAGTGTCAAATTTTAAATTGGGAAGATCTGTGTTTTATAGCAATTGACTGATTTGGGGCGGATGTATAGTGTGCATGTAATTAAAATGTCAAACTTCATTACAGGAGTTTAAAAATAAGGGTTCAAACTGAAAAATGTTTAACCTCTGCAGTGGTTATTAATGAAAGAAAGTAGTGTGGGATCTTGTGCAGCTTTTGTGAAAAGTGATCTGGAATTCTTAACAAAGGGTATAATCTGAATTTGAAAAGTGTTTTTAGACATGCATCTTTCATTAACGCTTGTGAGTTGTATGGCTAACGCTGAAGTTATGAATCTCAATGAATATATTTACAACATTAGCATGTATAGAAAATGTACTCAGATGAAGAGTGAGAAACGTCAGTAGTATTTGCTTTACGTTAGTATGGAGAACAAGTAATCAGGGCAATCACATTCTCACTATGAATGAGACACAACTGATTTTTACAGCATTACACTCTGCCTTTATTTACTGACATCATGGGTCATTCAATTTTGGAATAAACTCATGGACTTCCCTCTTGGTTTAATCTGTCAGAATTTAAACATGGGTAGGCAGGGTTCAAATGTGCCTTAAATGGCCGGCTTACACCAGTTTTATGGTATTGGTACTGCTTATTAAAGGGTTGCTCATGTCAGAAGTGTTGAACAAGTTGGCACAATTCATAGCCTCTGCTGAGGAGAGCTTCAGGGCTAGAACAGGATTGAAACTGCAGGTCAGGACTGAGGGAGGCTTAGTGGTGAAGCTATTAGGTGCAAGCTTTATTATACTGTGTGAGGAAGCTTCCAATTCACCTACCTATTCAATGTGGAACCCTATCTAATGCTAGCTGGTCTCGGTTTCATGAGCATCAAATTCATCCTTCCCTCCTATTCCCAAAACATATACAGCTTTCAGTTTCACACTCCCTCCCTTTGATTTAAGATATCAAGACGAACTGTCACTTTTCCAGCGCTGCCGTGAATCTGGTAGGCTTTTGAGATTTTAATGTTTGTTTACATCCTGGAGGTGGCTTGGAGTGTGGGTGAGTAGTCAGTTGTATGCCAAGCCAATTATATTCTATCAGTTTGTGCAACATGCAGACATTGTGATGATATACGAATTCCAATCACAAGTATTTTATTCCTCATAATCTGCTGTTCGGACACAAGCCACAAATTATTACAGTGCTCTCAAATGAAAAGTGCTGGCTCCCTATTACAATTTGTACAGTACTGACAGCAACTACATAGATAATTTGCTAACACCTTTTCTGAAACCACGGTGTGAGTGAACTCCCATAAGTTCCACAAGCTCACCAGAGTCTTCTGTGTTCTCCATTATTTTGCTTAAAACTGGATTTAAATCCCTTTATTTTTCCATGAAAATATTCCTATATCATCACCAGACTTGCAAACCTTTCTCTGCACGTATGGAGGGAATACGTGCTGTCCTCAGGACTGAGTGAAAAAACACAAATATTAGAGAATCATAATATTTGAATGGAACATAAACATCAAGACAGATAAACGTTAAGGCTGGGATTTTCAAATACTTGGTCCCCAACTCCCATTAAATTCAATGAGTTAGGTGCCTAACTCCTTTAGGCTCCTTGGATAATCACTTTGTAAGTGCTTGCTATTTTTGAATTTGAACGTGGAGGATATGGGGACAATGCTTGTTTCATACAATGGTACATCAGAAAAAGGACAGATGGCTAGTCTTGAAGCTTGCTAGAACCATAATGTCTGATCATGCTGTCATTGAAGAAGTTTTGCTATTAACTTCGATGGGATCAGGATTATTTATTTGTAGTGCACTAGCACCTGGAGGCCCTAATGAGGAGCAGAGCCCTGTTGTACTGTGAGATGTACAGACGTGGTATATATGGCAGTTATATGCCAGATATAGCAATAGCCCACAGTGAACAAATATGACAAAACGCTGTTTAAAAATGACCCAAAAGATCTGATGTATAGAGGACTCAGTAGGCAGTGTATGGGCTCACTTTTACAGACACTAACCAGAAAGGCAACAAGGAGTCCGGTGGCACCTTCAAGACTAACAGATTTATTTGGGCATAAGCTTTTGTGGGTAAAAAACCCACTTCTTCAGATGCATGGAGAAACCAGAAAGGATACAGCTTCCAATGGGCGTTGGGTTCCTAACTCCCTTAGGCTGTTTTGAAATCCCAGCCAGAGTAATTACTAAAGGAAGCTTTGAAAGGAATTGCCTGTGCTGCTATTTCATGACCTTTGGTATAGATGCATTACTTACTTACTCACCAGTAAGTATTTAAAGACCCAATGTTCAGCAATTCTTTGCATTATTGGCATGATGGGTTATTTTTTCTTTCCACGTGTTTTGTAGAGTAGCTGTTTCTCTCTGATCCACTGGTCCCAAATGTATTTTAGTTATTGCTTGTTTTTAAGTTTTCTCTAGTGATCAGATACTTGGAGATGGGTTCTGTATATACAGATAAATACATAATGCTGATCGGAGTTTTGCAGAATTAGATTTAACAAAACTCAGTTTTTCAGTTTTCTCTCCTACTTGCCCCATTATTAAGGACCTGATCCAGCAAAGCACTTATGCACACACTTAACTGTAAGCACACGAGCACTGCAACTGACTTTAATAGGATACTTATATGTTTAGTACTCTCCTGGGTTGGGGATTTAGTGCATAAGAGCAGATTGTTAAAACACCTTGATGCTGTAAGTAATCTTGTCTCTCTAATTTAAAAAATGTGAAAAGAATAACATTTCATGTTTGAAATGGTAGCATTGTCATTCTCTTCTCAGATACTAAGAAAGAGTAGTGGGGAAAACGTTACAGATGACAGAGCATCATTGTTAATTGTGAGTGACCTGGGTTTTAGTGTAAAGAAATTAATCTTTATTGCCTGTCAGGGAAATTGATGAGCTGAATTTTGGAAAGTGACTAGCCTTACATTTAATGATAGATTCATTTGTCTGTCTTTAGAAAATTTCTGAGTCTAATGTTGTCATGTGTGGGCTCTATGATGTAATTAAGTTTTTAAATCCGTAGTTGCAACAGTGAGAAGTTAATTTGAAATTGAACCCTGCCTTGAGTAGTTCTTAACATAAATGAGATGTGCACAGCTGGGTTTTTGTGTACAGTACTTTTGTGGTATGACAGTTTTGTTGCCTAATCAATTTCACAGTGTCTCCTTAAGTTTTAACTGTAACATTCTTTCACAGTTTTGTTTTGTATATTTTTGCAGTGGCTCAGAATTCTTCAAAGATTGGGATCTTGACTGGAAAACCAATGGAAAATTAAATAGTTGCCACTAAAAAGGATGATCACTTTTAATCCAAGTAAATCTAGCCTTTCTATCATTTGAATTCTGGTTAAATGTGTTAAAATCTGACATTAGCCTGGCTACTTAGGATTTTTCTGTATTCTGAGTTGCTGCAATTTATAAACTGATGCAAAAGAATATGAACACACTCCTATTTCAGTTTAGTTTAAGTTGACCAGGAATAGGTTTAATCTAAAGTGAAGTAAACTACTCTTAGATTGAAATGACAGGAGTTTATATTGGTTTATCTAAACCATTTGAACTGAATTTATTTAACTAAATTGGTGCAGGCTTTCAGAGTTACCAGCTAAGTCAGTGGGCTAGATTGTGATCTTGTCTTACATGCTCAGGCAGGAGAGTAAGGGGACATAAGACCCCGCCCTCCTGAATCCAGGTCAGCCCCCGCATTCCCCGTCCCCTCCACCCTTTTCCCCTACAAGGAAATGGGCAGAGCATGTACCACTGTCCTAA